GTTGTTCTGACTTTAACCGCGTGACAAAATGTTCTTTATTTCTTCCTGTCGAAGCGGTTGATATATTGAATCGATGTCGATGTGCATGTTGGTTGAGTCTTTCGTTGAGAACCAAGTTCCAGGAATTCCCTTTCGTTTCTCCTTTCACCCCGTGCCAGGAATTCTGCTTTGTTCCAATCAAAGCTATGTTCTTCATCATCTGCGTGCAATAAAACTAGCGACGATGCACTGGCTCTTTTATGTTCTTGTATCCTTGTTACCAGTTGTCTTCCCGTCTGGCCAACGTAATCCCTTTCGCAATCTCAGCAACGTACTGTATACCACGTTACGTTGTTCATGCGCCTACAGTTTTTCTTTTGGTTTTGAAAGTTTTTCCCAACGTGGCAGTTGGGTTGTGCTACCATGAGATGATGTTGTTTGAATAGTCTGGCTGCCATTTCCGATATGTTCTTCATATAAGGCAGACCAGCCCGTTTCTCCGTTGTTCTTTACGTTGTGGTGACTGAGACACCTTCGGATGAAGCTTTGTGGGTATCTGTTAAGTTGGAAACATTTAAATAGGTGCTTTCCTTCCATTCGCATTGCTTCTGTGGTACTGCAGTGTGTTTGCACCCTGCGAAACAGTGTCCGCATGCAGCTTACTTTGTGGTATTTCGGGTGGTTGCTGTTAAAGTCCAGTAAGATTGCACGCCGCATCTCACTGCACTGAGGATGCCACCACGTATGGTGGTGAAAGGTTTGCAATAAAACCGCCAAGCTCGGAGAACAAATGAACAATTGAATCTTGTGCACGTCTTGAATCGGACGAGTTACCAAACAGACTGCTTTTTCACGTTTATTCAGTCGGAATATGTGAAACTATAAATATATATAGTTCACCAACTAAGTTAAACCTCTGCTGGGATTCGAGCGTCCGCCGCCATAAAGTGATAGTGTTCCCTAACTAGCTCGATGAGGCCTGTCATTATCCTTAGTTGACACGCTGTTGGACATTTGCATTTTGGTGCCCAAAATCCCAAGCATGAAAACATATGTCTTGGGAAGAAATGAGACTACATAAGGGTTGAGAGGGGTAGAAAACCGTCATCCTCAAGCTCTCAAAGAGCAGTTTTCGGACAGCTTTCACGTACGAATCAACTGGCTCAGGAAGATAGCACCGACTGCATGACAAAAAGAAGACGAGACGGAGCATGTTGGAGAAGCGTTATTTCAGTGGATGAACCGTTCCACCACCTGATCAATTGTCTTCCTTCGGAGCGTCTCACAGGGGCCCGATGTCCTCCCTTTAGGCATCTTAATGAACAAATGAGATACATCGATAAGTACAAGCAATTCGTTCTCTCGTGAAAGTAAAATACCGTCTACTAACGAAATACTTGCTCTATCTCTCAGGGGCCACACACATCTCTCAGGCGGAGGATACATCGTCCCGATTGTGTAGCGCTGACAGGCCATAGATTCTAGATGTAATTTAGTGTCGAGTAAAGGTTAGATAAAGGACGGTCCCATTTGGGACTCCTCTACCTGGCATTTTCCGGTTTAGGTCTTACCTCAGTATACTTCTGGCTCTTCCATATTTGATTACCCATCTCTCTCGCTCATGGCTTCCGAAATTTCACCTCAGACTGCTGCTCGACTACACTGCAGACGATTGTTGGCTTAAGAAGGCTATGCAACGCGCAGGCCACCGGGAACTCTCAATGAAATATGACCGAAGCTGACCTACCCGTTGTTTAAACTCCCTAGGCGATTTGTTGCTTACGATATCCAACAATTCAAAATGGGGTCGCACGGAGTACGCTGATAGAACCAAGTTACTACTGGCTACCACCGGGCACAATCACGATGGAGGTATTATAGCCACTAAAATGACACCGCGAACGAACATGAGAACAAACGTTCAGATCCTGGCACATGCGATGACGCACAGCCATCCCTGTGGCAACAACAATAGCACATTGTCTCCTCGGGCTTGATGAAGTCAGTGCAACGAGCGAGACAAGACTAAACACAAAAGGTGGGCTACAACTTGAGATCATGTGAGCATGTCTGTAGGCTGAGGGTAGTGACTGCAGCTGTGGGCTGGGAATTGGAGTGAGATTACAGTGACAGAGAGAACTAGGTGAATGCGTTCGGCGAGACGGTGTGCGATGTAATCTGGGACTGGAAACGGTCCAGGTATGGCCTAAAGACGAGCAATAGGTGTCCAGGCGACGAAATGTCCTTCACACTGCTGAAATCGCTAATAAAGTTATTCAACGCGATGCGCAAGACACAACGAAGTCACATTCCTAGACGCGCATGTATCGGTTCCCCATTTTATAATAACTGTCCGATGTATTGACACCGCGCCGAATAAGTGCTGCAGCTCTATAAGCGTCCGTACGAGTATGATCATCAGCAACGTCTCCGTGGACGACGAATGATGTGAACCTATCCCGGAAAGAAAACGTCGAGTGTCCCTCAATAGTGGACGAAATATACTTCAACAAGATCCATAGCAAACGTAGATTCTATTGATGTTTGGTAAGGTATTCAAAGTTCATTTTAAAGGTCTGTTCTCGAAATGCTGAATAAAAAGCATTCAGACGCAGCAGCCCCGACGGGTCCATAAGCTAAGGTAAAAACGACTTACCGAAACGAGATCATTGATTTCTCAGCACCTAAAGCACACTCCCGGTCCGGTCAGAATCCTTCATCTTATGTCAATTCACTTGCATCTGTGGTGTAAGGTTTCTTAGACACACGACCATGTGCTTTTCCAGACGGATTGCTGAACACTGTCTTGTAGGACTGCGGAAAGGCACGGTGAACATCAACAGTTCCCATCTGCAACACTTGGTTGAAGGAGTCCTCTAAAATCGTCTATACCATCCCTAGACGTTACCCAAAGAAGCGTAATAAACATCTACTGGTCGTCAAAGGAGGCATCGCGATCAGGATGTTGAAACCGGAGTTGTTTAAATAGCGGACTCTATAACAAGCTTTGAGTTTGCTATGGACAACATTGATTTTCCAGCGTTGGTCACAAGTCTGATTAAAACAGCCAGTGATTGATATTTCATATCGCTTAGCTAACCAGTCGCACGCAAGTCTTATTCTTTCCATGTTCATTTATCAACTGTGACGAATCTTTCGCTAGCTTATTAACGTCCTAATTTTGCTTTACTAATGTATTTGTCTGAAGATGGTTCTTCGCGCAATTGTTAACTTCAAACTGTGGGAATAATTTGTGATAGATTATTCCCAACTTTTCACGTGACACCTGCTGAGGCACGATCACACGAAGTGTTGCTGGATCCAGGCCTACCCGCATGACATTCGCTACTGCTTATGCAGGCGAACTATACTTATATTTGTAACATGGAACTGACTCAGCCTACGAGCCTTGCCGAAAGATATAATTGGCAATGGCAGGACAAGACCCCGGTTTAGGCTCGACAGAAAACGACCCACTTAAGTATATTTGCAAAAGTCTGTTAACAGACATAATGCCATCAGAAACCATGGGAGTCAAACGAAGGTACAGAAACAGTAAAATAAAACACAACACAACAATGTCCATGGTTTCCAGCAAGTTTATGCTGTACTTCTGGGGAGCATTGGGCCCCTGTTTGACAAAGGAACAAACGAAAGGCGTATGAACTGAGCAATCAGTCACCGGCTCCCAATGGGCGCGATTCCCTGAATTCGCTCCGCTGCCTTGCGGGCAGGCTATTAAGCCAAAGGCTCAGGGTGGTGTCCCCTAAGTCAACACCCTACTTCGGCTTGGGCAACCGGGTAGTATCTCGCCCTCTGAGGAAACCATGGACCCACTTAAGAGCTAACCCATATGACGTATCTCTGCAAATAGAACCTTCGATGCCCTCTAGTTGGCAGCTTCCTTCTTGTGAAAGTCATCATAATTTGCCATATCACCCGAACTACGTACTAACTCGTAGGGTCCCGAGTGGGCAGTATGGTGAAATCGACACGTTGTCCGGAAAAATCGATCGGCCAATTCCAAACCCTCTGAGAACTTTGTTCGGCTTCCAGTACGTTTCAAGAGATTGGATCCATAGAATGGTGTTCCACACAAAAACTACTTAAACTAGAAATCAACTGCAGTTCTGAAATCGGTAATGCATCCCACAGTGATGGAAAGTGGGCACCAGGGCCAGGCATATTGTAGCGCTGTAAAAACACTTGTTGTTCCGATGGATGATATATGCGGATAGTCAACAGAAATCGCACAGCCATTTATAGAGAGTATCACTGCATGGAGATAGTCAATCAAACCAGTTAACCGGCCAATCAATCAACGGAGAATTAAACTTCCAGTATGGGTCTTATCCACCCTCCAGTGTTCGTTGCACCAACTGGAATTTATTAGAACTTAACAGGTAGCAACTTGCGTAATCGGTGGCCAACATTGCTTCGACTGTTTCGTAGGCCAGTGAAACACTGTAGGAAGCACGATGTCCTTTTGAGATGCTCAACCTAACTAATAAAGATAAGCGGAGCACGTAGGCTGTCTGCTCCGTGCAAAGATCATCAGCATGTTACGACCTTTGACATTTCCGCCAAATTTGGGAATCCAGTGCGAATTGATCTGCTAGCAAATACAAGCACCTGTCAAAGGAATCGAACTATTCCGTCAGTATAGTAAACCCGTGGAGCGGAATTCACTCACACTGGCCGAAAACCAAACTCAGAAGAGTGAGTGACTGACCTCCAAAATAAGCATGTTTCCTTTACCGATAAATAGAGCTGATCTATCCTGTAGATATACTCTCTATCTACCCAGTTCTGGCCTTTGTATTCCTTCGGTTGGCTGAGCGCGTGACTGAGCAGTCAGACAGTCGCAGTCTCACAGGATAGCAAAAAAGCAGCACAACACTAACTTAGAAGTGCGTCATTCTAGAGGTGGACCAGTGAACTATGAACAAGGAAGGAAATCGTATCCATCTCAAAATTGTGTGCAGTAAAGACGCATATTTGTGTGAGATAAGAAGTTGACGCAAAGCGAAAATATATGATATTCTCCGCATTATTCGCACGCCGTCTACTCTTCAAAAATGGTGGGAATCCCCAAAAGGTCACTCAAAATGCACCGTAAGCATGGTGTGCAAGATCGTTGGCTTAGACACCCGATGAACACAGAACACGAGCTAAAGGTAGATCGTTGAAATTACTCGAGTTAGAAAAAAGATAATTCAATGGTATCACAAAATCCGGTGGGCGGCGATGTGTTACAAGCTACAAGGCACTCAGCTACAGATAACATATGCATCCTGACAAAATACTCGCCAGTGGTAAACCACAGAAGGTAGTAGCCCCCACCCTTGACGAAGATAGTGGGGCATATGCCAAAATAAGCGGGTGTGAAGCAAAGCAGGGATGAAGAGGCGCAGGTGAGTATGATCATAATGTACAGCGAATTACTGCCGGGGGGGGGGGGTAATTTCGAAAGACGTCGTTCACAGTTATTACTTGGTCGAATCATGCGTGCGGAAAGCAGAATGAAGCTGGCTCCCGCAGTTGGCCATCAAAACTATGCGTCAGTGGATTTCGGCATCTCTCCCTCTTTGGAAAATATAGCCATTGTGTCAGGATCGAGCCAAGAGTACCCAAGAACCCGACTGTCTGTGGGTTCTGGTTGATCCACGGTAGCCTGAAAATGAGGAGAAAAGCGGAGGATAGAGTGAAAAGCATCTCAAAATGGTGTAAAAATGACTCAGAAACATTCTGGTGGTGGATATGAAACACCGGACGATGGCGTGCTTCAGCTGTGGACGAGAAGCGAAAAAGCGTAATCGAGACTAGTCAGTTCATGAGCGCAACAAAACGCGGGCGCGTTCCCATGCATTGGAGAAGACTGTCTGTAATTAAAAAGGCGTTGGTTTGCAACAAGTGGTTGCTGTTTGTCGCCGAATCGAATGAGGCCGTAAACGGGTAATTCGGGAGCCATTTGGATTAACTGAGTGTAAAACCGGTTTGTTACATAGCGTTCGAAGGAAACTGATGGAGGATTTATGATCGCTCTGTTACAACTACCTTCTGCCACAGGGCAACAGACGGTGACCTTCTCCCGCATGGGCTGACCAAGTGCACACAGTCCCTCGACGTACAAGACGATAACTCATTTATAACAAATAGAGTTTAGTGTTGCCGTAGAACTCGGTCCTTCAGGGAAAAGCAATTTCTTTAACTATGACAAACAGTGGAAAAAGTAAAGCAAAACTCGCCCGCACAGCGCTTTAACATATAGTTAGGCCAACGCAACTCAGAACGACGCAGTCCCACCAATAAAATTCCCTTTTCACTTCAGTTAGATAACAATCGACAAACGTCATTCTATCAGCGGAGCTTTGTGCAGCCAACAGATGACGCCGTTCGGCGTGCATCTGATCGATTACCTTGTAAGTCTTGAGGGCCTAGCTGCTCGCTTCGACACACTACCATCACAAATGATTTTACAAAGAGTGTTTCACCATCTGACTGTAGCTTGTTGCATAAAGTATCCCAAAAGTACAGTTCCAATAAGTGCCCAGGCGATTTAAGTAGTTTTCCTGAGGATATACTTCGTTTGTTTAAACTAAGCACTGTCTTTGGCACTTATCCGCCATAGCCGAAGCTCCGCACCACTGGCTCCGCGCGTTCGTGTGCGTTTACGCTTTCCATGATCAGATCCTGTCGTGTTGCTTTTCTCGCTATGGAGACTGTACAAACACTTCAATACACCATTATGTAGCATATCGGATCGTCTGCTGTCGTTTCGATGAGGTCGGTCAACTAACTGCGCATTTGAGCTTTAGCGCCAAGGCGACAGCGTTACGGTTGGGCATGGAGTTACCACCATCTTTTACGTAGCTGTGAAACTATATAATGTCATCTGTATTCCAACTAGACTGGCTCAGAGTAGATTTCCGTGAATCGCAGAATGACACTAAGCGTCCGTATTGACGGCTGTACGGAAAACACAACGATCGATCAATTGTAGTCACTTGTTGAAGCACCTCAGCGATCAAATGGTCACGTAGCGCGGTCGATGAGCGCGTGAATGAACGCAAACCGGGCGGTTGAAAGTGTTCGGAAGAGAACTGGTACAGGCGCGCAAAGGATACAAATTATGGATTTGAACAAGTTCAAGAGCAAAACGATCGTACTGTCAGGCGCCACTAATTAAACAACGTAAGTCGGTGTTGACTACAGGATAGTGGGGAGTTGGGTGCCATAAATTGAACTCGTCACAATTAGACTCAGTCCAATGATAATCAAACGTAACGAAAAGCAATGGACGGCCTTCTCATCCTTTCGGGAATCGTCAGTAGTGTGTACTCCGTCCGTCTACTATTGAGTTAGAACTGAAGATTTAAAGTTGAGAGGCCGTTGCTAAGGGGACTATCCTGCTCCATGCAGGGCAATAACGTGCAAGTCAGTACTGAGACGCATGCTAAATCTAGTAACCCAGTTATGTCGATCCTTGCCATCAATCATGGGTCAATGGTCTTCATTGACGACACATGGAAGTAAGATTGCGCGTTCTGACCCGCATACTAATAAAGATTCCTGAAATAACGAGACGGTGGTCTAGTGCTTTCCCGTAATCCATTGTGCCGTAGATGAAGAGCATAATTCTGAAGTGCTTATTCTGAGTAAACTTCCGGGATAATCGAATGATGTAATAAAACAAATGATACCGCTGAGGTTAGTTCAAAACTAACCCGAGGAAGACCCAGTGCCGAGAAAATACCCAAAAGCAGACGGTGCCAGGAAACTGCAGCCAAACTTTGTAACCGCACACAGAAAGTGAGTAGACAACGTATTCTGAGTCAAGTGCGCAACTGACTACAGGTGAGCATATAGTGTTCCGGAATGTTCCCAACCCCTTAAACTTGCGTTTAGTTTGTCCAGCAGAACATTATTCTTGTCACCTGACACACTAAACACATTTCTGAACCTCTACTTCAGACATAGTCTCATACGTTTTTAACTGTCCGAGGTATTCCATCAGGTTTGGCATTCAATTCAACGACACATTCTGTTTGATCACCACCGTGTGTGCTGGCATACAAAGTTGCAACAGTTTGGAGCCCGTCGAGCTCGGACCAACCTAACGTCAAAACTGATACGACGCATCAGAGTAGAGGAGATTGGACTTAGGCTTCTATTTAAAACTGCTACTAGAAGTCCTACAAACAGAATACAAAATATAGTGGGGTGTGGTAGGTCAAAGTTGAATTTGGGGAACCCGCTGTGTGTTTGGGTTGCGACACGCAACCTCTACTGAGACCTCGGTTCACCTTGAGGTAGACGCCGGTCATTCCGATCGCAAGGACAGTATCCGAAATGTAAATGGTGTAGTAGGCGCTTTATTGATTCGATAAGAAGAAGCTTTCTTGTTCCCAATGACTGTATGAAATCCATTGCGAAAGGAGTGGATTTAATATGTGATCGAATAAAATCTCTGGATAAGAATAAACGATTGATGTTTGCTGTTACGCGCTCAGCACATTGTCTGTCCATCGTTTTGACGATTGGGTGCCATACGAACCAAGGATGAACAGTTGAGTGAGCAGCGAAGAAGACGATCGTCCCGCTTCATACACTAGAAATGTTAGGCACGCAGTTCAGCCGCGATGTCGCTCGTCATGTGGTGTATCACTCCTGAAGACAATCCCAGTGGGTGACACTTTAAACTCACTCCTTCGACCTCGTGATACCCCGCACATAATTGATTACTGGTGCCATATGAGCAAGTCGTTCGACGGATGGAGGCTGGATGAATGCGAATTGTTGGCGGAACCTGGTCCTAGATTTACCCGTTATTTTAGCAGCAAGCAAGCCCTCAGCCACATAGGGTAACTGGGCAGTCTACACTGAACCAACCGACATTCTCTCTCTAGCTTAGTCAGGAAAGAATAAGACAAAATGATGTGGTTTAAAGTCATAATTACTTCGGAAATGATCAGCAATCTCTTAATATGCGTTTCGCGCGTGAATAGGTGAATCGGCGTGGGTGGAAGAGCACGACTGTAATGACGCAGATGAAGTTGGAATGCGACGTATATCGCGAGGTCGCTAGGCATCCACTGCCAGTGAAGAAATCACATGGTGTATGTAGCTAGTTATGTGGTATAACCGGAGTTGGGCTAAACCAACTTACACTTAAACTAGGTCTTTTTAAGCTGGATAAATTTCATTCCACTTTATTTGGTTTGTTCTACCTACCTGAGTAATCTTCTATTAACTGGCCACGTTGCTTAAGCTAATTGCGCTTATCTTCGGTAATTTTGTTGCGTTTGTAGCATTTTAACTAACTTGTGGACATTTCTTATTTATCGCGGATTCGTTGCTAACCAACTTACTTCATATGGTAGTTTAGCAAAGAGTTATGCCACCGTATCTGTATACATTATTGGATGTATTTTATTTCAGCTTGTCGTTTAAAGTGAATGGCTGTTGTTTGATATCCCGATGTGGCTGCGCTTGATGTGTATGTTGACAAAGTGCCTACCTGTCTATTACCCACTGCCTCTTCCATACTGGCTCCAGGAAACAGTTGGTCGTTGCTGGAGGGGATGGGGTGCACGGTCCTTGTGGCCGTGCTAGGCTCAAAGAGTGGTTCTTCCATGCACTCAGTGTGGAGCGGACTACGGTCCAACCACCGCCTTGTGTGCGATTGATTCCCCAAATACAGTGTGCTTGTGCTTGCCTGTGAAGTGGTGTGAGCCGGCTCCGTTGATGAAACGTGGTTCCCATCCACATGCCTCCCGGTCTTATTCCTTCGGGTTTACACTGGATATGGGGTGTGTGGATGGAGCTGTGGGTGGTGCAGCGCAAGCCATCCATGGTCCCTCTGTAGGCGCAGGCGTCTTGTGGCTGGCCACAGTGACAGGCAAATCCGAAACCGGATGCTGCCAACCATGTGGTATAACCATCAACTGAACATTTTGCCGTCAAGAAAGTAACATACTCTTGAAACCAGTCATTAATCCATGTGGCGCTAGTGATGTGTAGACAGAGAGCCCAAATCCAACATGCCACGCATAGATAACAGACGTCAAGCGGCAGATCGAATGCAAGTAAGGAAGTGATAGATCAACAGGGTTAATGAAACAGGTAGAGAACAATCGTATCGAAATAAATAAATAAGTCGGAGAATACAACAAACCTTGAGTTTCTGTCTAGCACGGGCGATGAACGAGGCGTCATCCCAGCCATCGACGCTGCAAGAAAGACGGAAAAGAGCCAGTTAATGATGTACCGAGAAATCTCCGGTTGGAACAAAGCGAATCCCCACTACACGACAGTGTGTGACCGGCTTCGTACTTGCATGTAATCATCAAGGTGAGGTAGCATACGTTGGGCTCGAATCCAGATCGCAGGGATACCAGGCGAAACGGCTAATTCTGGGCCTCCCATGCGCACAAGGGGCGTCTCAAATGAACCCATCGACTGAATATTGTAAGGGTAAAGGGTTCGAAGAGGAGTTCGTGTGTGCTACGGTGAATCGCATCGTTTGTTTAATTGGGTCAAGGAAGTGGAAGTGCACGAACAGTAGATTTCAATGCGTACGATATGCTGTAATTGGCGCTGATACCACGGTAGCGTAGGGATAAATGCTTCGGAGAGCAGTCCCTACGTACCAGGTTCTGGTCTAAATCGCGCTATCTACATCTGATGAGAGTGTGAACAAGTATGAAACGGGTCATCGATTGCAATGCTGCGAGCAGGCAAGATCCCAAATTTAGCTGTTTGAGTAAGGTCGCAATGGCCGAGATTCACTAATGAGGCTAACAGCGGTGTAGAATGAGATGACATATCGTAAAGTATTGATACAAGGGGACTTCGAATAAGTCCATAACAAAGCTGAACTACGTTTTGTCGTACTTGACGGAACTGGGAGGAGGGAGACGCTTCCAAACCGAAGCAGCCGAACAGGCGTCAAGCGGTGTATGTTAACACACCATATGACGTCGCATTTCTGTACCTATCAAACTCGGACCGCCTGTGCTGGTTAGGTCAACATGCGCTCCGCACGTGTACAAGCCGACTGTTTTGGGTACTGTTGTTCGCCGACACCGTACTTGTGATGGAAGTATTATATAAGAATGTAAAGATGGATCCAAAGAACAAGCCAGACAGCCAATTGGAGACGAACCTGACGGATTCAACCACTGAACACTGACTGTTGCTGTCTGTGTGTTACGATGAGTTTCTCATTGTTTGTTTAATTGACTCAAAAAGGACCTCATTAATTGTGGAAGTGCACAGACGATAGACTAAAGTGTAAAGTGGGTTGTAATTTTCGCTGTTACCTTTGTTGAATCGCCCAGGAGTCCATGAAAGACCGACTTTTGAGATAGCACCCATCCAGAAGAAACATGAAGAAACTCTAAGGAAGGCTGAGTTTGGATGGTGTCTCACGTCTTCCCGAGTGGGGACCGCGGGATCAGTCAAATCATTGGTTGGGCACTTTATCGGATAAAGAAAAAAGGAAGGCATCGGCAGTACGCCGGTAGACAGTATCGACGCTTCGCTGCCGCGCAACCATCACCGATCGAACGCCAGTTAGGGATACTGAGGGGACCGCCCCGCTCCTACGCAGGATCGAACCCGCGCCGTCAGATGACAAGACAACCTCGTTAGCTTTAGGCTACGAGCCGGCTTTATGGGGTATTGCGCAGTCGCGGAGCCACTAGCGCTTTTGCATTCGTTCCCACACTTCCGACTACTATAATTCTGCTTCATTATTATTATTAAGGTCACTAGTACTACTATACCGTTTTACAGGAACTTACGCATAGTGCTAATAAGTTAGCTTGTTA